TCAGCCGCCAGAGGAAGCCCCTCCCCCCCACACACATACTCTGGGGACCTGTGGTCTGTGGGACTGCCCTCCCAGCCTGTGCCTGACTCCTCTCCCCTCACTGGAAGGCTCCGCACGACCCTGCAGCCGCAAATGCTCAGAAGGACCCGGCAAAGCCCCCTCCAGTCCTGGGTCCCGTCTCCAGCCTGGTCCACTTACTTATCGTCCCTTGATTCTCACCGCTTGGGTGGGGCCCAGGCAATGGCACTCTTCAGAAGCTCCCAAAGGTGAGAGGCACAGCCCTAGCACCAGTGAGGACCAGAGGGCTTCCTGCCACCCACTCATGGGCACTGCCCAGCCCCCACATCCTGAACTTCCTGTTTATTGAGTGAAAGGCAAGTACTGAGGCAGCCAGGGGCCACCCGCTCTCTCCCACTGCCTCTGGGGCCTTCCAGCTAAAAAACTGCACCTGCTAAGTCCCCCAACCTGCCCCCACGGGGGCCCCTCTGCCCCAGAATCCAACCTACCCCAAGAACTGCAAGGAGGCATTGGCTCTGAGCCCCTCAGCCAGCACCTGGGCTCCCGAGGCAGTGATGTGGTTATTGCCCAGCCTGGAAAAGAAGGCAGGGAGGCTGAAGGAGTGCGGGACGGACGTGGGGGTGTTAGTGCCCAGAAGCACCCGGGGCTGGTAACATGGAGAAAAGCTTTGAGGACCTCTCTGCTGGACACGGCAGCCCGACTTCTTCCTGCCTGTCGAGCAGACTCCCCCGGGTGCTAGTCTATTCCTGCTTGGCCAACCTTACTCAACCGTGACTCCCGCTAGTTCATTCTCCAGCTGCAAAGGGGAAAAAGTGGGGGGAAACCTGTTTTGCAAAGCAGTGTGACAGGTATGGGCAGGAGGCACTATTGTCAGCTGTCCTAGGAGGTGGTTTCCCCAAGGGAGGGAGGGTGACTCACTGTCACACCTTTTCCTCCTGTCTCAGCCACCAGCTGGTGCCAGACTCCATGCCCCCTGCAGCTTTCCTGGGTCCCTTGTTGCTGCAGGTGGCTTTCACCTGTTCCGCCCGAGCTGCTGGGAAAGGGCAAGGGATTCTGCTGGGGGGTTGGGGGTTGGAGGAGGGAGGGTTCAGCCGTATCCAGATACCTCAGAGAACTTTGGAGAGGTCCCCAGAACTCTTACTCACGACCCCAGGCTTCCTGGAATTAATAACACACTTTTCCTCTTTTTAGAGAACTTTCACGCCCTTGAAGCCACTCTGGCTGACAACTACCCTGCAGAGCAGGCGCTATTATCCTCTTTGAGAAGGGGCAGGGTGCCCTCCCACACCTCTGACCACAGGCTGCTGTGCCGGGAAATTCAAGGTCGCTTCCCACAGGCTGCTCCCAGCCAGTGACTGGGAAACACAAGACTCTGCTGGGCAAATCTGGCTGGAGGACTCCCCCACAGCCTTCTGTGCTCTCAGAACTGCCCCAAGGTCTAGAGGCTTCCTCCCAGCCTTCCTTCCTTCCTTCTCCCCGTCTCTCAGGGTCAGACTTGCGCTGTAGTGAGCTGACTCTCCCAGCCTCCCCCAGCCCCCTTCCCTGTTTCCCCTCGGAGGCATTTTCCCCAACAAACAGTTCCGCATCTAATCCCTTCTGGGAGGGCTGAACTACCGTAAGATAAACACGCTGAGAATTTACATGATTACCCACCACCTTTTAACCGCTAAGCTCCCTCCATAAAGCACTGACCATATCACGCCAGCTTTCTATGTATCCTAACTCATTTAACCGTTACAACAACCTAGGAGGAAGCTGTAATTATTATCTACATTTCACAGAAGGGGAAACAGAGTCACAGAGACATTGGGCTGACCCAAGGTCACATAGCAAATGAGGATTCAAATCTCAGGGATCTTAGATCCAAACCTCAGTTGGTCTGGCCCCAGAACCCCATGCTCTCTCAACTATTCTGCTATACCAGCCCAAAACCCAGGCTTCAAATTCTGAGCATAGTACCTTCCCACTACCCCACAGCCTTCCCTGGGGGATAGGCCAGCCTCCCACTCTGGCCACAGCTGCTGTCAGCATCCTGAGTCTGGGGGAGCAGGTGGTAGCAACAGAAGAGAGTCCTTTGTGGGGAGCCCGGGCGACCAAATCTTGACTTGGGCTCAGGCCATGATCTCGCAGTTCGTGAGTTCAAGCCCCATATCAGGCTCTGTGCTGACAGCGCGTAACCTGCTTGGGATTCTGTCTCCCTCTCTCTCTGCCCCTCCCCTGCTCGCTCTCTTTCTCTCAAAAGGAATTAAATTTTAAAAAGTTAAAACAAAAAGAAGAAGAGAGTCCTTTGTACAGAACAGCGCCACTGGGGCTGGCTTCAGCAGCCCTGCCTGAGACTGGGCCACATGGTTAGTAATTTCAACATGGCGGCTTCGAACCCCAAACCCAGCCCAGCAGGTACGAAGAATGGACAAAAGCGATGGTTTACTTTGTCTTCTTTTACTGCCACATAAATCCAGGAAGCAAGAAGACCCCAGGGAGAAAGAGAAGCCAGGCTGACCCGGGGACCAGCAGGAGAGGTGACTGAATGGTGTCAGATGGGAGAGAGACCCCCACTGAGCCAGGAAGGTCAGGAGCAGCAGAAAGGCAGACATCAAAGACTGAAGCGCAAAGCCGGCACCCACCGAGCTGGGTAAGGACCTTCTGAGAGCTTTTCAGCAACTGGCTGTCACAGCTGTGGTGGCAGGTGACTCCACGTGCCTCCCCCCGCAACACGTGCTCAATGAACACCAGGGAACCCGGTAACCCCAGACAGCTTGTGACACTCTTAGACACAGGGAAGGAAAGGGTCCCAGAAACCGTCTTCAGCCCTGGGGGGCCAAAGGTCAAAGGGCAGGCAGCCCTCAGCAGAGCCAATCCTGGGTTTGCTGGGGAGGTCACAGCATTAGCGAAACCCTGTTCAAAGGAGACACTGCCCCTGATTCAGTCAGCAGATCACAAGCCCAGTAGGGGCCGAACCAGGGCCAGGACCAGACCGAACTGACTCAGCTCTGAAGAAGAAAAGCAATTTCCACAGAATAGGAAAGCCCTGGGCTCACCTCAAAGCCAAGAAGTTCTGCCTGCACGCAAGGAGCCTCGCCACGGAGTGTGCACAGCCATCGGTCAGTTTGTTGTTGAAGAGACTGGAACGTTCCAAAGGACAGGAGACATGGAGACCTAGCACAGCAGTCAGGGACCACCCCAAGCCCAGGGTAGCCCGTTCCCGTGACCCAGGAGTCACCTGCACCCTCCAAATATGCCAACACCCTCGCCGCAGCTCACGGCTGCTGCCCAAACGGCACGACCCGGAGCGTGGCCGGGGACACGATGTCCACCACTCGAGCCCGACTTACGCTAACTTCTGCAGCTGCTCACAGTGAAGAGCATGTTCGACGAGCTTGCAGATGCCTCGGTCTGAGATATTGTTATCTCGCAAGCTAAGAAAAAAAGACAAATAGATTTGGAAAATGGAGCTGATAAAAGAGAAATAAACAAGACCCCAAAAGAGACTTCTGCTCGTGCCCAAAGTGCCAGCATCTGTGTTTCTGGGAAACACCGCAAGGGCTGAGCACCCCAAGAAAGAGGAGACGCCCCCATCCCTGGTCAGGGTGCTGACGTCATGCACCATGTGGGGGACCGCTCAGGAGGTGGGGCCCCAGAGCTCCTGCTAAAGAACGCTGGAGTCCCGGCGGGTCACTGGAGTCCTAGGCTGAGGCACTGTTTCTATGCTTGTAAAACAGAAATGATCACCATAGCAGCCTCACAGAAGGTTCCTAGGTGGGAGGGTGTGTTGGGAACTAGCCAGGCCACCCTGGGGGTGACGGTGGGTACCAGACGGCAGACCAGTCAGACAAGAGTGGCCAAGACTCTGGAAAACCAGCAAGTGAGCCGTGGTTAGGGAGGCCCTGCCGTCCAGCACTTCACCCCAGTGACATCACTCCTGTCGTCAGACCCTGCCCAGAAAGCCCCCTCTGACACTCCTCTCGGGGTGGCGCCCCCAAACTCACCTGATCACAAGATCTTCAGAAAGCATCCCTAAAATACAGACTCTGGGGCCCCTCCCCTGGAGCTGGCAATTCTGGGAGTGGAGGTGGGGTGGGGGGTTGGGGCCCAGGGATCTGTGTATATTAACAACCGTGCCTAGGATTCTTCATCCTCGGGCAGATCTGGGAGACCCTGACTTAAAGGCTAACAGCTTGGGGATCTGGAATCTTCCCTCCGTGGAAACTCTCATCCTCAGCAGCCACTTACTAGCTATTTGCTGTAAAAAAAAAAGGGGGGGGGGGGGGGGGGAGATGGTATTCCCAGCCTCACCTGGCTGAGAGAGGATTTAAAGAGACAGCACACACAAAGCCCTGTGAGTGCCTGGCGCAGGCAGAAGGTAGCTGTAATCATGGCTGCTCTCACGCATGGGGCATCTGATGTGCCAGCACCGACCCAAGCGCTTCCCAATAGTAAAGGTGTTTAATCCTCACAAAAGCCCACGACGTAGGTACCATTATGATGTCCGTTAGAGGGAAGGCAGTTGAGGCACAGACACGTGAAGTGACTTTGCCAAGGTTGCACAGCACCTAAAGGATCTGGGCCCCAGGCGGTCTGGCTCTAAAGCCCACCGTTAAGCATGACCTTGTACGCCTCTGTCCCAAGGCCCCCTGTGGGCTCCTAGAGCCGTGATTTCCAGGCTGCAGGTTGTGACCCGTTCGTGGGCACGAAACCAACTTCAAAGGTCCTGAGCGGCGTTTTGAAAAGAGGAAAAGAATAAAAGACTGCAGCGTGCATCAGAGTTCGCACGGGAAAGTCATTCTGTGAAGTTTTTGTTTCAGGTTTGGACGCCTGTGCATCTAAAGGTGCATTTGCACCTTCTCTCTCACTGTAGGTCACAGCCAAAACATTTTGAAAGCCAGAACCCTAGAGTCAGATCCAGGGCCTAAAGAAAGCTATATGGGGGCACTTTGTAGACAGGCTTCCTGGAGGCTGAGGGTTTGTTTCTGTTGGCATGGAAACATTTCAAGTGGGAGAGATACAGTATGGCTCTGGGGGAGAGGAGCACCTCCTCGCCAGCCTCTGTCTCTGTCTGTCTCTGTCTCTGTCTGTCTCTCTGTCTCTCTGTCTCTCTCTCTCTCACACACACACACACACACATAGGAAATACCTGACCTCCAGATCATTTCCCCTCCCACATAATGCTGGCAATTTCTGTGTGGAGAGTAAAGAGCAGTAGAACTTAGTCAAGGACTTTTATTGCTCATGGAAAATCAAGCTGGTTCCCACAGACCAGCTGTTTTCACAGGGTGGCTCTGGACTCCTTGGAGCAGTATCACCAGGGATGTCAGTTAGAAAACATAGATCCCTGGCCGCAACCCCCCCCCACCGCCGCCCCGACCGAGGGAGCGAGAATCGCTGGGGGTAGGCTTCCGAATCTGCATTTCTACATGCTTCTCTGCACCTCTAGGCTGAGCATGGTTACCAGACCATCCTCATTTTCCTCCGAAAATGGAGAGAGACTTCTAGCCCCCCCTCAGCCCTTGGACACATCCTGGGAGTGGCATGGCTTTCCTGAGGAGAGAGGATCCATTCATTCTAGGGATGGACTGGTCTAGAAGGATCATCCCAGCCAGCGGTTCCTGACCTCCCGGGGCTCGAGGACCCCTTTGAGAACTATGGGCTCATTATCCACAAGAATGGACTTGTAATTCTATCAGGTAAATGACTCCCACAGATGGGTCTCGGACTTCTTGAGTGAAAATATGGCGGTTCCTCCTTCCTGGGGAGATCGAGTATTGTGCTGGCCATCTTTCCATTTCCCTAGCCAGATCCGCTTTCCTCTTTCTATCTGGCTCTCGGTCCTGAGGGGCTGATGCCCATGGACTACAGCAGCAGGCACCCTGTGTTGGCCTCCCATCTGGGGGTCAAGGCAAGAACAAGAAGGGGAGGAAGAGCCAGGGTTTATTCCCCCAGACCCCACCCTTCCAGCTTTCTGTAGCCTCAGTTTCTATCAGGCAGCCTTCTCCACACCTCTCCCCCAGCCCTGCCCCTCCAGGCTTGAGGACGGTGACAGCCCCGTCCCCACCCCTACCGCCACAGTCACTGGCCCCAGGACCCTGCACTTTCCCTTCTCGCTCTTCCTAACTGCTGCCCAGTCCCTTCTAAACAGTCCGCAAACCACCCAATTTCAATGTGTCATCTGTTTCCTCCTGATACATTCACAACACACATTACCTATAATGCACACGTGGGCTGCATAAAATATGCTAATGTTATATTATTATTACATTATGCGAACAAACTTATGACCATGGTCCCTATGGAAAGGATAACACAGGCCACCCTACAATTTCTAAGAGATATCCATATGTTTGCTCCAAAGAGAAAAAAAAAAGTCTTAATGCTGTAGCCCAGAGGAAGTAGGCCATCGTAATATATTCAAGGAGAGGCTTGTCCCTTGCTTCGGGGCAAATAAAGTCACCTGGGATAGACCAAAAGCCCTGGAAGGCTGTGAGTCGATTTTAACTTGAAGCTACCTTCTGCTTTTTCAGCGGGTTTAAACAGGGCGCAGGACATCCCCTTTCAAGGACGGAAGGGAAGTGGGGGAGTCTGCAGAACGCTGGCCATGAGACCCGGGCATGCCCTCGGCTCTCACCTGGCCCACGGGTGCTGGAACAGACAGTCCCAAGGGGGAAAGCTCACGCCCTCAGAGGGGGCGGGGGGAGGGTGCTGGGAGCAGTGCAGGTGGTGGCGAAAATCTCATCTGGACCCTGCACAGCATGCGGGCTACGAGGGCAGGTGGCAGTCCGTGGCCACTTTCCAGCTCTCGGATCCCGAAATCCTCATCTCATTGGGATTTTAAAATCTCTCATGGGGCACAAGTCACCTCTAAATTTCGGCTCGTTCCTAATACAGACACTTAGCACACAAAGCTTTGCACATCACTTCAAGGTTCTCATGGAGCCCCTGAACGCTGTCCATAGATAGGCTGCTTGTGGGGAGCACAGACCTGTCCCCGGAAAGGTGTGATCTGTGAACCCCAGCTCTACCATTTCCTGGGTCACTCGAGACCAGTCACTTTGCTTCTCTGAGCCTCGATTTGAGGATAATGGGGAGCGTCTGGGTGGCTCAGGGGGTTGAGCATCCAACTTCAGGTTAGGTCACGATCTCACAGTTCATGAGCTTGCGTCTTGGATCACACAGCCTGCTTCAGACCCTCTATCAGTCCCCCGCTCACGCTCTCTCTCTCTCTCTCTCTCAAAAATTAGTAAACATTAAAAAATTTTGAGGATAAGGGGGATAATAACGTCCCTGCCTACAGCCCAGGGTGGTCACGGAGATTAAAGGAATTAATTCCAGGAAGCGTGTAACACAGTGCCTGACACCCAGGACATTCAATAAGCACGGCTGTCGTTCTCCTACGTTGTAAGGAAGGCTCGGACCGGGGAAGGGGCTGGGCTGGGGATTGCACAGAAGGGGTGGCAAGACTGGCGCTGGGCCCCGACTCCTGGGTCCCAGCCCGGTGCTCCCACACCGGCATCTCCGGGGTGGCATCCCTTCCCCCCCCCTCCCCCCGCCAACCCGTGCACAGCGGGCAGCGCCCAGCAACACTCACTAAAGAGCCTTGCACACGTCGAGACAAGGCAGCAGCTGCTCCACACCAACGTCACCTACAGAGTTGTGGTCCAGTTGCAGGGCCACGGGCCGCCGCAGGTGCCGCAGCACGAACGCCAGGGCGGCACATTCCGCGGGGCCCACGCCGCAAAAGGTCAGCTTGAGGTGCCCGACCTTCAGGCCTCGCACGGCCTC